TAACAACTCTTCTTATACCACCGATTACTTGTCAAATTTCGAACATTTAAACGTGAAAAGATGAATACACTTGCTGTGGCCTTCAACTCGACATTTAGATATATCGAGTACGTATTGTCAATGGAAGCCCATTTAGGACCTATAAAAATATTTTTTGAAATTTGATATAACAAATTGTCGAATTTAATTCATTATAACGATTTCTTTAAATTTGTTATAACAAAGAAATTGTTATAACGAATTTAATTTGTTATAACAAATTCGACAATTCGTTATATTGGATTCAAAATTTTTTTTCGATTAGTCCTAAATGGGCTTCCGTATTAATGAACAATGGTAATTTCCATTCCTACGTCGATACGATATATCAAGGAGAGCCTGAGATAAAAAATACCGCAGAGTCTGACATATCTGTTTCATACTTGGATATTTTACTTGGTAAGACGTTAATGGTAATATATTTACATTCTGTGGATTTTTCCTTATGAAATTCATTAGAAATCCATGACGTTCAAATTTCTATAACACACGTGAAACCTTGTCACCGTGCGTTAGAATACACAGTAGGAACTATATGCATTTTCTATAATCTGAGAACACCAAAATGTACAATGTTTTGACTCAATTTAATTAAAAACTATAATCCTGTTAAATTAACGTGAAAATGCTACAAATGTTCCTTTCAAATTAATTTGTCACTTTTTTTCCTCGCAATGTTTGTTTGCGTTATTTAACTTTGCAACGTCATCTGACGTCACAAACGGCTCTTACGTCTATTAACCGCGTCAGTTTTGAAGGGCGTTAAATTCACACTAAAGATAAACGAAATAAGCAATTACGAAGAAGGAAAATTAGAGAATGTAAATATAAGCATTGAATTCATATTTTGACTGTCTTCGGTCCTATAACACACCTGGCCGTGTCGACAAATTTATCATACCGCGCTAACGCGCGGTATTCAATTTGTCGGCACAGCCAGGTGTGATATAGGACCGAAGACAGCCAAAAATATGAAATTCAATGCTTAACTAACAACCAAGCTTTATGATAAACGTGATGACTTTAACTTTTCTATCGTCAACTTCCCTTACTTATACAGCAATATACCTTCATCAGCTGCATACGGAGTAAATATATCTCAGTTGATTCGATACGCAAGAGCATGCTCTACGTATGAACAATTTCTAAAACGAGGTGAATTATTGACAAGCAAATTGATGAAACAAGAATATCAGCAGTCTCGTTTAAAGTCATCATTTCGTAAGTTCTATGGTCGATAAAATGACCTTGTCATCAAATACAGTTTATCATTGAGTCAAATGCTGACTGAAGTTTTTCATACTTATTGTTAGTCCATTATTTAAACACTGAATTGACGATGGATTTTTCCGTTATTTCCTGATCATGACAATGAGCACACGGCGGGTGTGACCGGTCGACAGGGGATGCTCACTCCCCCATGGCACCTGATCCCACCTCTGATGTTTCGGAGGTCCGTGTTTGCTCTGTTCCTATTTTGTATTGTTTATTATTATGCTTCCTGTCAGTTTGTCTCTATATAACCCACACCCTACTATTCTCGCATAGTTTTCAAAGGATTTATATAGCGTAAGCATACTATGCCGAAATAGTGCACGGCTTCCATTTCTGAGGAAAATCCAACAACGCCCATACCGGGGAGCGAACTCACGACCCCGAGATTGTCAGTCCGATGCGCTACCGATTATGCCACGGACCCCCTTGTCTATACTATTGTACTATAATATATATAAACTTAGTTTCAAATATTTTACACTTAAGATTAAAAATAAACAAAATAATTCTTCTAAAATAGTTTCTTGCAACCCCCCTTCCTTCAATCAAATAATATTCTCTAAAACTATCTGTAGATTATACCTAAAGCATGGAACGTTCAAAATTAAAGAAAAAGATTATGACGTACATGTTGCATAAGGTGACGTCATAATAGAGTAGACGAATGTTACAGGTGATGAAACATTGGGAATGAAGAAAATATTGCCGTTTTTATACAGTAACAACAGTCAGCATAATAATAACAATAGTGTTGTGTTTTGCGTGCACTATGCCTAAATAGTAGTCAGGGTTTGACACATATGCACTCTCCTCCGGCTCGTGCTCCATGTATCAAACCCTGACTACTATTTAGGCATAGTGCACGCAAAACACAACACTATTATAAAATTATTATGCTTCCTGTCAGTTTGTCTCTATATAACCCATGCCCTACTATTCTCGCATAGTGTTCTAAGGATTTATATATCGTAAGCATACTATGCCGAAATAGTGCACGGCTTCCATTTTTGAGGAAAATCCGACAACGCCCATAGCGGGGAGCGATCTCACGACCCTGAGATTGTCAGTCCGACGCGCTACCGATTACACCACAGACGCCGTTATCTACAGCATTGTACTATAATATATATAAACTTAGTTTCAAATATTTTATAATTTAAATTAAAAATAAACAAATAATTCTTCTAAAATAGTTTCTTGCAACCCCCCTTTCTTCAATCAAATAATATTCTCTAAAACTATCTGTAGATTATACCTAAAGCATGGAACGTTCAAAATTAAAGAAAAAGATTATGACGTACATGTTGCATAAGGTGACATCATAATAGAGTAGACGAATGTTACAGGTGATGATACATTGGGAATGAAGAAACTAGAGTAACAACAGTCAGCATAATAATTACAATAGTGTTGTGTTTTGCGTGCACTATGCCTAAATAGTATCAGGGTTTGACACATGGTGCACGAGCCGGAGGTGAGTGCACCGTGTGTCAAACCCTGACTACTATTTAGGCATAGTGCACGCAAAACACAACACTATTATATAAATGGACTTTGAGATCGAATATTGTTCGTTATCTTCATAATCCTTATTTATCAAAAGCTATAAAAATTAAATTTTATTTAATGACTGCTGTCTTTACTACTTGAGTTATCATCTTCAAATGTCAAATAATAGATATACGCAGCATACGAAACTGCGTGTTGAAGTTGGGGTCCTTTGATTTTCATGAATATCAAAAGAAATAACTGACAAGTACACACTTTATAGCTTTCGTAAACACTGAGCACAGGTTTGTCCAGAATCGAGATTGATATATAATGTGTATATCATATGTGTAAAGGTTGAGTTAAAATATCTTTGTTGAACAAACTTGTGCTCTGTTTTCTAATTAAAAGTATTATGATTTTGAACCTCTTCTCTTTCTTCATTTACATGCCATTAACCTCTTTATGACCTGCTTAGAATCATATTAAACCACGTGGATTTGTGTCGATACGGGTAAATGCCCGCAGTATACTAGTAAACGTGCTTGCTAGCTCTCAGTCGAATGGTACTCAGTTTTATATCGGTCAGTATGGACTTGTTTGGTTAATCTTTTTATAGTGTTTCATTGATCAAGTTATATAATTAGAAAATTCTATTTGCTGTTGATTGTGAATCTTGTATAATTCATCTTTGAAAGGAAAATATCAATTACAAGAATATTCTTTTTATAGTATCTAATCTAAATGTCTCCACCCGATTCCGTGTAAAAGAGAAACCGTAGTCTGATGAAAGAAAATGTTCTGGCATTTTTTAGTGCGATGTGTGTTAAAATCAGCTTGTATTTTTTAAATATGTTTAATTATTCATTATAAGTACACAATGCTTTAATTAGAAATACTTTGTTATACAAAATGAAATCAAGCAGGATACTCTTTGCTAATATTTAACCAGTAAATCAAGGGTATAAAAAGGGACCACGCTACTATACTTAAATAGAATACTCCATTAATGATAATTGAGCTTGAAAAATGTTTTCACCATATATTTCATTTCTCTTTCAGAATAAAATAAAATAAACCAGTTCTTCGGGAGTGGTCAGATATTTCATTTTTGCAAAGATGATCTCATATGTTCTCACATGTGCACTCACACTTTCGTTACAAAAATAAACGTTCCCTTTGCAAATTTCTGCAAATTTTCTGTCATTTCGCATTTTTTAATACTAAATTGTATATGTTTAAACAAAATTATTTTTTCAAAAAACCCAGTCTTTTAGCAGAAATTTGTTTATTTTCAAGAAGGGGTAATTTCTCATGAATCGTGGTCCTAGCTTTTTATAATATAGATAATATTTAAATTTGTTAAAAAGAGTTCAAATTGGTTCAAATGGAGACAAGATGAAAGAACTCTATTCGGTAGTAACCAATATTTGCCCCCCCCCCCCAAATCAAACTTTGACGGAGAAATATTTTATTATGTTCTTAAACAGGGGGATATATGCTGAATGTGCACTGAATATTTTTATAAGCAATGACGTCATATGTTTGAAATGACTTCACAAAAATGACATAAATTTAAAATGTCCATGATTTCTCCAGATGAGTGTATATATTTCGTCAATATTTTGAGTAAAAGTCACCGAGCGCAGGTCTGATCAGGGTCAATATTTTGATATAAGGTGTAGAATGATAATATCAATGAAATATGTAAATATTGTTCCTGAGAAAACTTGCGCTCTATAAATTTTAAAGTCAAAAGTGTTGAAATTGTTTCTTTTTGTCCTCTTTCTGAAAAATAATATAAAATCGGGCTAGTTTGTAACGTCATGAAAACAAAAAATGTCAATAAACTACTTTGAAACTTTAATATGTTCTGTTAATTTATATTCCTCATACAATTTATAGAATTCAGCACATTTCAAGAATTTTTCAAAATTTAACTTTTGTGGGGGCAATAATTATGCAATGTACCGCATATAGTTCTTTGTCTATCAGGTGTATATTTACTGATTGGTCTAGAAAGCAACAACTATATTATACACATCTTTTAATGAGTTTTTTACCTTATAATTAACTGACTGGAATTGTCTTACCTGTGAGATAGTAAAACAACCAAATAAAATAATAAAATCAACCACTTCTATATTGTAACAGTTGTACAATGTTAACTGGCTTCTTTCTCTTGCAAATATTTAAAGGTGCTGATGCTTCTTCATGCTGTAGCAGTTTGCCGCACATATTTCGGAATTTGTGACTGTCCACAGTCAGACCGATTTTGTTGTTGTTTACAACATAAAAAAGTAAATAATAACTAACTTCAATATTATTAATTTCTGATATTGTTGTAGATAATGAATCAAGAATTTGTACATTTTTGTCACTTTAAGTTAAACATGTGTATCTTACTGTTTCTTTTGAAATATTTTTTTTGTTTCATTTATAACCAGAATGGCATCAAACTAAGAAAAATGCAAGTTAGACAAGATGCAAAATTGTATTATACAAGATTTAAAAAAATATATTTGAATGTTTTATGACAAAGAACATATATAAGTAAATTTTCATCCACATTTTTTTAACGTGAGTTATAATAACATTATCGACATGGTTAGTATTTTGTATATTGACTAAGCAGTTTAAGAAGTTTCTATCTCAAAAGTTAAACGTTTCTCAAGATATGTTTTAATATAAGAATAAGCTGAATGCAACAAATACAAATAACGAAAATGTATCCAGGGAGCACATTTATGCGTTAACTTATCAATCAATTGCAATTCGTACTCATGAATATGAAATCCATTTCATGGAAATGGAAAACTGCCTAATCCGGACACCAATGTCAAGATCTAGTAAATGATAGGTGCCTACAGATATATCAAATTCAAGAAATAAATTCCTTAAGTGATGCTTTATAACTTTAGCTTGGTCAAATGTGGTGTTTGGGGGTATAATTTGTAGGTAAACAAGATGAAAATCATATTTTGAACAGTCATATTTGATAAAAAATTAAGAAACCAGTAATGAAAATGGGAGTTATTTCCCTATCAGACAAAGAAAATATATACAGATTGCCTACAGTTCCTCGGAAAACGGTAATGTGTATGTTCTTTGCCTCTTCTTTGAATTAATATAAGTATCGGGCTTACTTTTCATGTGACTTCAAATTGAATTCCATGAAAAAACTGTATTTTCTACATAATTCTATCAGAGCCGTAAAGTAAGGAAAAAGATGAAATTGAATTTGAAGTCATAATGGATCTAGCATCAAAAATAGTCTAAATTCGTTCACTAGATCTTGACCTTAACTGGAAAAGTATAATTTCAGAATTTCAAATTCCGACTCAAACAAATTTTACCGATTTTAATCTAAGGAGTCAGTTATAAAAAAGATATGACGCATGTATATTATACTTTCATATTGGTAATTTACTATCTTTACTATGAATTGCTGTTTAAAATAAAGATATGAGTAATTATGTCAAGCTTTGTTTTAAAAATGTTCAATCTTTTCTTACATAAATAAATAGTTTTTTCTTTTATATGTATTCCGTTGTTTCTTTATAAGCCTTATTTTATAAAATGTATTTTAGAAGAGCTTCGATTTAATTCTGCACGTGGTAATCCAACTTATACTCATAGATTTCTTTCTAAGGAAGACATTCTTTTCGATCGGGACCTATATTCTTAAATGAATACACAGAATAACGAAATGATACTGGCAGGTGCGTCATGCAGTATGAAGAGGCGTAATTCCTTCTAGTCTATAAGGGACACAGACTCAAGGAGTTCATTTGGTGCCCCTCGGATAATGCTCAGGGATATTAAACATATGTCATATGTAGAGTCTTCAGATTCCCAATTTTGGTATAAAAGCAATCCATCGTAAAAAATAGAACGAATGTAAGGTTTTTATCACAGATATATTTAATAATTGATGACGGTCAAGCAAAAACCACCCTTAAGTCAAAATTCTGACATTTTGAGTTGTTTAGTGATCCTGATAGACAATTTTCTACTCTTTCAAATGATATATGACATGTCTTTGTTGAAAGACTAGAAATTAGTGAAATTCTTCAAATAAAAATTGCAAATTCTTTGTCATGACGCTGTGTTTTATTTCATAACGTCAATTATTTTGTTATCACGTTTCCGTGGTTGTGTTGTAAAAACTGCACAAGAAAAATCACCTCGAACAACAAATGACATTACATAAGTGATTTTTATTTAATTACATTGTTATTGTTCCTTTTTATGATCGATAATGTTAGCATTTTAGAAGAAAAATCAGGTTTGTATTACAGCCCCCCCCCCCCCCCCCCCCCCCTTAAAAGAAGACACTAAATCACGAGATGTTTTGTTTCTTTTTTTTTACAATCATTGTTGTTAGTTTATCGTTCTTGGGGGCGGGAGGTTTATTGTGCCTTTTATGCCCTATATCTGTTTATACAGTCTATGATCGTAAAATCTCGACTGAAAACTCAGATCTATCAAATACTAGAGACTTTTATGCCCCCCCCCCCCCAAAAAAAAATACACAGTACAGATCAGATAGATGGTTTGAATGATCTTTTTATTTCAGAATTTTTGTTCGTCTTTTGTGATTGAACAATTTCATGATCATGGTATGTCAAGTCGACATAAGAATGAAAGTAATTGTTGCTAATTTATAATATGTGTACGTTGTCGATATCTAAATTTATCAGGCCACAGAAAAAAATTCTCATGTATACGAATTTCAATAAATTCGGAACACGGAAATTATGTCTCCTAATAAGAGGCAATCTGATAACAAACGGTCCTATCATTTTCCACAGAGAGAGAGAGAGATTGATTGTACCGGGTATATTGTTTAATGTCTCTCTCGAGAATTTTTAACTCATTTGGGTCCTATACTTGGCACTTAGGTCCATTGAGCAGACCTGTAGGGATCTTTTTCAGTCGTGCCAGTGCTTACTGCGACACGGGAAGTCGGTTTATATGATCTCATCCGAAGGACCAGTCTCCACTTCACGCGGTGGGATTCGAACCTGCGACGAGAGAGAGAGAGAGAATATTATTTCACACATAAATTAAATCAAGGCTTTCGTCGAAAATACTTTCTGTCCTTGTGTTTTTTTCCAAATGAATTTATTTTTTTTTGGGAGCAGATTGAGGAACAGTTTCGATTGCAACTTTCTATTAATCTCGCACAGATGGCCTGAAGATCTCCATCAAAATAATAGTCCTCTCCGACCCTCCATTAAAGATTCATAATAACATAGGCGTCGGAAGCAAATTGAAAGAGGGGGCTAATTGAAAGTGTGAGGAGAGGGGGGGGGGGGGGGCTAATGCAACAAAAAAAAAGCTAAACCCCAATTTTCAATGCCTATATTATGTATATATGTTTGCAAACGAAATGGAGGGCTAACCCCCCCCCCCCTCCCCCCTGGTTCCAACGCCTATGTATAATACAAATTGCTGCAATATAATTTATACCTAGTGAAACTTTAAATTTGGCACTGAACCTCCAAGGTATTGGAAGATTGGAAGCACCCCCACCCCCTTTCTTATGTTCTAAAAGTCTGCATTTGTCGCGCCTCGTGGTGGAAAGCAAGTTCACAAATCAATCAACTTATACAAATGTACTACACTGTAAAATATTTTACTTATTAAAGGAAGTCCAACATCCACCACCTTTTATCAATGTGCAGTGCAGGACTTGCATAGGAAGTAAAATTTTTGACAGATAGCAAGTCTCCATGATGAATAAATGTGTGTTTTAAGAAAATAATTATTTATTTGAAAATAATTGACAATGTGTTTTTCCTGTTTGATTGTAGACGACAATTCTGCTAAAATGAAGACAATCAAAACCCTACCTACGTGCGTATTTGTTTCAGCTATGCAGATAAAAATGCATTTCCAGGAGTGAATTCGAAATTTGCAGTGTGGCTAGGGTCAATATATTTTTTAAAAAAATAATTATTAGGATTTCAGCACAGGATAAAGTTTTTGAGAGGGAGGGTGCTGCTTTCTGTTTTAAGCACGCGTTTCGTGCTCCTGGTGTGACATACTAGTACATTTTTATATTAAGTTGAAATGAAATCTGAAGCAAAATGTCACATGTGCACTTTTGAATAACACCTGATTTCGCCTATAGAATCTAAGAAGTTTCTCTGCAAGACACCTTCGGAAACAATGACCAAAATACAGTGGACCTTCAGATATCCGGACCCTTCAGTATCCGGACGATTTTTCATTGGAACGGAATTTTTTAATGTTGCTTTGTCTTGTTTAACTGGTAATTCAGGTATCCGGACACTTCACATATCTGGATAAATTGACTAGGAACCAAAACGTATACGATCCTCGGTACATTAATTCTGGACAGATGCGGATCGAAAGCGACATAAGACAATTCATGCAAAAATCACTGAAACAATTCCTTTTGAGAGAGAGAGATAAAGAAAAAAGGAGAGTTGTGTAATTGTGGTTTGATTGGTTGATTAAATGACACATTAAAAAAGCTTTCCTAGATTTATTAGCCACATGCTAAATATTTCATCAGTTTCAAGTTTTATTTGAATCAATTTAAATAATTTTATTTTTATGACCTAATCACAGTTTCGTGATTATCTTTTCCTAAAATATGTAGACTGCATTCGTCTTTCATTAACTGATCGAAGGATTCATAATGTTGCATTATTATTCCAACAGATTAACAGTAAAAAAAAAATGTATCAATTTTTTTAAATTCTGTTTAAGCAACTATTTTGTAGCATGAATAATTAACAGTCTCTACTTTCCACTCTTCATATCAAAAACATGTAAATAAGATATACCGAAAAGTGGTTAATACTGAACGCTTCCTGTTGCCAGGTAACAATAAATAATCATAATACAAGTTACTTCCCTTCATTAGCGGTATTTGTACATGCTGACATGTTAACATCCATGTAAATTATTTCAGACACATAGGAAGGGATTCATTTTTTAAATTTATCTCTTTTGGGGGGATTCTTGACAAGCAATTAATTAATATAACAAATGAAAAAAAGTTCGTTTTGTTTTGCTTTCTAATTGCTTTTCAAGAATCCCCCCCCCCCACAAAAAAAATGCCCCTTGCACCGATCAGGGCTTTGTTTTCCAAATTCTATTAAGTATATTCCTGTGACCCGCCTCCCCCTTCCTTCAAGCTTGTTTTTGATTTTAGGTACATAATGCTGTTTAGTTTGCAATAAACTTACACTTTGATTAGGTTTTCTAAACTTTTTATCATTAATATAGAAATGTTAATAAATAGTGACGAAAAATTATGTTAAATAAGAGTAGATCTATGTTCATTTTGTTGCTGCCCTAGCCTCAAGATAATATGCGATTTCTCCCCCATAAAATTTTGTGCTTTAAAAGTGAAAAGAAAATGCTACTCGAAAATGAAAATAAAGGCGAAATCGTGGCAATCGCTACTTCAAAGGATTTTCACCTTCAGATTGCTGTAAATCATTATTTTTTTTTCATACTAAACAGTGGGCTTTAATAATCACATTTACGACTACTCAGTATGTTGTTTAGCATAGGCATTTACTGTATGAAGAAATATTATAATTAATGATGCGTCTTCACAGTGCATATTCTTTGCAAAATGCGGCAAACATTTATGACGTCAACTTTAGCGCTCGTTTTCTCGATAACATCATAATGCACATAAGGGTGGTTTTCGCTTGACGGTCATCAATTATTTTTTTGATCAAGTCTTCTTTTTCATAATGATTTGTGAAAGAAACGTAAATCATGTGACATTTTGAAAACTAACACTTCTTTCACCAGTAATCTTACTGGGCATAGCTTCTATACCAAAACTTGAGAAAATCTTAACTTCATTGTCTACGGAATAGAATGTAATCTGTGTGGACTTAATTATATTAGTTATAGTCTGGTCCTGATTTTGAAAAAGAAGGCTAGAAATAACATCTAACGGTAAATAATTATTATTTGGTCTAGCATAGTTTTTTAATCTATTTCGAGTATGCTAAATCCGAAAAAAATATGCTGGCCTTCATGAAAATGGCGTTAAAGAGGTCAAAATGGCGATTCAAAATGGCTGACGTCCAATTTTTTTAATGTTCAAAATGGAGAAGTAATGAGTGAATATCTAACTGAGTGTAATAAAACTATAAGAATTATAATAGGATGCCAACATTATTAGTTAAACTCAGAAAATTTAGTCGTTTCTACACTTAATTCGAATTTTCTCTGATTTTTTGGTCTATTGTTTCTATATTCTTCTTTGTTCAGGATTTTACATTTGCAAATATCCATACACTGCAGATTTGTATTTTTTCCTCTTCAACTCACTATTCTACAATTGAATGATAGTGCAGTTGTAAGTTAAAAGTCAAAATGGCGATTCAAAATGGCGGATATTCATATTTTTCTTCAAATTATTTAATTCTTAATGTCGTTTACATAGGAGAAAGGATTTGTGAATATCTTACTGAGCGTAGTACAACTAAGTCTATGTATAATGACA